TTCCTTAAAAACCACTAGTTTACCAAAACTTATATAAAAAAGGGAGAAAAAGAATAAACATTAGGGTTGGAAAAAATACCCGCGAAGAATTGCTTGAATTTTCTATTTTATTTACCAAATAATCACTATCAGTTTCTTCTGATAGTTGAGATTCTGATAGTAATTTAGTTAATTTTTCTTGAATATCTGGTTGATCTTAAAATATTTCATTTATTTTCTTTTTCATTTTGCCCTCTGTAGACCTATGTCCTTGTCTTTTACAATTCTAACATACTATTTTTTTTATTGGCTTAAATTTTTTGTTATTCTTTGAATAATATTGATTTTTTGGTTTTTTATTAAAATCTTTATTTTTATGATAACGTTTTGTATTGTTAAATTTTCTTTGTCTATATTTTAACCGTTTGACTCTTGAAGGTGGATTAAATTGATTATAACCATATTGTTCACACTATGAACCCATAGTTATTCTAAATTTAAATTTATCATTACGTTTTTTATCTTTATGTTCTTGGCATATTACTAATCTTTCTTTTTTTAACGAATACAAATAATTGACCATATATAATCATTCATAGTCACTCAGCCTTACTAAACAAGTGAACATCCTTCCTAAACTTATTTTTAAGAAAGTTTTTTATTTGTTTAGAAAAGCCTTTCTAAATAAGTGAAAATTCTTCATAAACTTATTTTTTACGAAGGTTTTTACTTGTTTAGGAAGGTGTTTAGGAAGACATTCCTAAACAAGTGAAAATCCTTCATAAACTCATTTTTAAGAAGGTTTTTTATTTGCTTAGGAAGGTGTTGAAGAAGGCCTTCATAAACAAATGAAAATCCTTCATAAACTTATTTTTGGGAAGGTTTTTCATTTGTTTAGGAATGTTTTCATAAACAAGTGAAAATCCTTCATAAACTTATTTTTGGGAAGGTTTCTCATTTGTTTAGGAAGCTGTTTTTAAAAATTTATTTTTAGGAAGGTTTCTTATTTGCTTAGGAAGGTGTTTAAGAAGATGTTTATGAATGCCTTCCTAAACAAGTGAAAATCTTTCATAAACTTATTTTTAAGAAGGTTTTTTATTTTCTTAGGAAGACCTTTCTAAACAAGTGAAAATTCTTCTAAAATTTATTTTTGGGAAGGTTTCTTAGTGGTTTAGGAAGGTATTTAAGAAGGTCTTCCTAAACAAATGAAAATCCTTCCTAAATTTATTTTTTTAGGAAGGTTTTTAGGAAAGTGTTTAGGAAGGCCTTCCTAAACAAGTGAAAATCCTTCCTAAACAAGTGAAAATCCTTCCTAAACTTATTTTTAAGAAAGTTTATTATTTGCTTAGGAAGGTGTTTAGGAAGACCTTCCTAAAACTAAGTTTTTAAAACAGCTTCCTAAACAAATGAGAAACCTTCCCAAAAATAAGTTTAGGAAGGTTCTCAAAAATAAGTTTAGGAAGGCCTTCCTAAACACATTCCTAAGCAAATATAAAATCTTTCTAAAAATAAGTTTAAGAAGGATTTTCACTTGTTTAGGAAGGCCTTCCTAAGCAAATAAGAAATCTTCCTAAAACTAAGTTTTTGAAAACAACTTCCTAAACAAATGAGAAACCTATCAAAAAATAAGTTTAGGAAAGATTTTCACTTGTTTAGGAAGATCTTCCTAAACACCTTCTTAAACAAATGAAAATCTTCCCAAAAATAAGTTTAGAAGACCTTCCTAAACATCTTCCTAAGTAAATAGAAAACCATCTTAAAAAAAAAATTTAGGAAGGCATTCCTAAACATCTTCCTAAACACTTTCCTAAGCTTTTTAATCTTGATACAAAATTATTGGAACTGAATTGCATTTTATAGTAAAAACTAATTCATTGGATAAAATAA